CCAAAAGTCCTGAACAGGGTGAACTAAACATTAGTTCCACGCTTGTTTTTTTTTAAGTATTTATTCTTTTGTCTCTGAGGAGACTTTCTTTGAGTGCTTCCAGTTTATTTAGACAAATGTGGTCAAATAAAATGTGGTTTAATGTGGATTACCAGAATCTGTAACAGCGGCAAGAGTTCAGTGTCCGACGAGCTTCAATCTTTGTGTTCCCCTGAAAATATGAAATAGTTCATGAACCTCAGACAGTCCTGCTTTGCAACATCTTGTTTCTGGTTGCAAACACTTTTTGTTTTATTTTCCCTTCCCAGGAACATTTTCACTTTCATTCTTGCTTCTTGTATTTTTTTTCTGAGCTTCGGTGCTTTCAGTCTGTTATTGTGGCACCATCACATTAATATGTGGACCACACACCTACAGTGACCTTATGCAGAGACATACCCACCCAAGTATAGCCTCTTGTTTTGTTTCATCTCCCATTCCAGAGATATGCTGTCATCAGGGGCACATCCATTCTTTGTAGCTGTCAAGCCGGCCTTCCTTGGGGGGTCTTGCCGCTGCGACGCCTGCATGCATATATCATAACTCAAGCGTCACTCCGGCTCGGTGTGAAGACTGGTGGCTCAACTCAAAATACCCACACTTCTTGAAATACTGTCGCCCGTTAACATATACTGCGCTCCAGGGAAGCTAAAAGAGGCTTTTGTTTGTCGAATCGTTCAGGAGAAACAATCGGTTTGTCTGGTGTTGCCTCTCCTCCTCTGCAGCCAGTGTTTTATCATCAGACATCAGCCCGTTAGTGTAAAAGGTTTCCACAGACAAATCTCCTCAAAGTTCTTCATTTGCGGAGGCACAGGCGAACGTGTGCAATCATGTGAAATTAAACACATGCTCACGGGGCAAATCCCTGAATAAGACAATGGGGTGACACATGGGTCCCTCCCTCACTTAATGGACACACAATGGAGAGTGTCAGCATCACCGGCGGGGCGTAAAGTAAGCTGACAGACAGACCATGTCAGGAGGCAGTCGTGATGTCAGCTTGCTGAGCGCTGTTCAACATGTCTCCTCCTGTGACTGACAACCACCCCCAATTAACCTCCGACTCAAACACAGACAGAAACCACATACATGTACACCTGCTCTCTGCCTCTCTGCCTCTCACACTCACATATATATATTCTCTCTCTCTCTCCGGCTGGGTGTGCGACAGCTGTGGAGCTTCGTCTTTATTCATACCGCACTAACTGACCTTGTTGTTTCAGGCCCAGGTCTCGCTTCATCCTCAGCATGGGGAAGCATTGTTTGCTTGCTACACAGTCATCTAAACAGCTCCAGGGCAAAAAAAAAAGAACAAATGAATAAATAAAATTCCCTCTAGATAATTGTCCGGTTTCTGTTTTTTCTTCCCTGCCAGAGGCGTTTTCTATTCTCAATGCACTGAACTGTTCAAGGTAAAGCAGGAGGAGCAGCAGAACCTGGTGTGGTTTCACTCAGGCCTTCACCAGACGTCACTCTGGGTCCCTCTAGTGTGCTGATGAGAAAAATGTTCGCTGTCATCCGGTCGGCTCCTCGCGCCACAGAGAGGCCTTGAGATTGATTTAGAACATGAATCCTGGTTCTGGTTCCCATTTGGCAGTCTGGCTCACATCAAGATTATATTTTGAGAGTGCTGTAATGTTGTTTTCTATCACATAACAAGCTGATTTTTTATAGTGTGTGCACATATTAGTCCTCAACCAGTTATTTAAACACAGACTGAGCCGAGCCGTGCAGCTAGAACATAAACAAGTGCATCAGCCGAGTGTGATAGTGGCCAGCAGATGGCGATGCGTCATCGTCTTTCTTCAAAGAGACTCATTTGGAGGCATTTTTCTTATAATATTCTGTCTGCATCATGCTGTGAACTGTATAATACATCTACAGTTTGAGTCCCAAAATGTAAAAGAAAAGTCTCGCGGCAACAATCCCAGACTTTCAGCCCGACAGTGAATCACCTGAGGTTGTTCCACGTCAAAGGAAAGCAGAGCCGGGGAAGGCAGCAGCAGATCAAAAGGCTATCAGTGCAGCGATCGATCACTCAGCAGTCTCCCTCAGCCGAAAGAAAGGCTGGGATGGGGGGTTTTGTCAGACGCTGAGGGAGGAGGAGAAAAATTACAGGTGATCTCTTAATGCTGGTTGGAATGAGGTGAAAGAGTGTTTTATTTGTGAGCAATATTTAAAGACGCATAACAGCATGTAGCACTAAATCAAACCCAAATTGAGGCGTGTGGTTGTACTACTGCTCATCAAAAGGCAGATTTGAAAGAGGTGTTCTTACATAACCTTGATTTCACACAATCATTTCAAAGCAAACCTTTATCACAAAGTCCTGAGGGGAAGATGCTTCGTCTTCATCTTTCAGCACGTTTTCAAAAGAGTCAACAGCTCATCGTCACAGCTCACCTATAATTAATCCGGTTCTTCAATCAACACCTTTTGCATTTCTTTTTATATCCTCGTGCACCTGAACAGGCCTGCTCCTGTTTTACTGCCGAAACCACTGAAAACTCAGCAACAGGTTCCAGATTTAAAGAGAAGCTGTGATGCTGCAAATGAATCCTAAAAAAAGCCTGAGAACTTGGCTGGACTACAGCTCACGACAGGAAAAACACTTCTTCTGGATTATCCTGGAGGAAGTCCTGCAGCATGTTTCCTTCTGTTCCATATGGACGGTTAGTGTGTCGGTCCAGTCCTGTTGCTTTACACCTATCCAGGGAAACACTCTGCAGATACTGCTGTGGACATATCTGGCTCTTACTAGTTCAAGCTGTGGCTTCAATACGACCCTCAGCCAGCAGAGCTATCAGTGCTGCGGCTACAGTTGCATGTAGTGAGTATTACAAGCATTAAAAATGAATTTGTCACAGCTGTAATTGTGGCTGCAGCTACAGCTGAGGGTGCACCGACTCCCTCTGAAGTCTCGACTGTCTGAGCAGCGCTGTGATACGCTATCATGCGGCCTGTAGACTGCTGCTGGTTGTAGCTTCAGAGAGCGTCGGTCAGAGAGAAAACTACAGGAGCTGCCGAGACAAACTGCTTGACTTATTTTGGGAGCTGTCACAGTGAATGGGGCCGGCTGAAGTCCAAACAGTGTACATTAATCCATCCACAGCGTCACCATCACAGCCAGGCAGAGCGACTGGACAGAACCAACACACTGACTGTTCCTGTGGAGCAGAAGGAAGAGAAAACATGTTGCACGGAAAAGCAAGAGTGCTGCCAGGGAATGCAAATATGGTGGCGATGAATAAACAAAGGAATGCAACAGTTTTGTGAGGCAACCTGAAACTTATTGCGATTAAAAACAAAAGTTTAGCCAAATGTTGCTAGGTGTGGCATAAATATGGAGGTGGCCTGTACAGAGCTCCACAGAAAGGCGGATGATCTCCATCCAGCTACTCGTGGTGAGTTTTAATAGTGATAGTGAGGTAACCCAAGAAACTCTCACCCTGACCCTTGTTGGTCTCTGTAATGTCTTCTCCACTCAGACTGTATGAAACCAGCAGCTTTGCCCACTTTGGCTCGTTTGGAGCTGATGCATGTTGTTAGTACATGTTTGACGCCTTAGATGGCGCTGTGGTGCGTTCGGCCGTCGTCCACTGCTGTTACTGCTTTATGTCATCCTGACTGTATTTTTAAATGCTCCGAATGTGTCATCGCTCCTGGTGTATGATGGCCTGACTCTATTGAAGATCTAAGATTTTGTGGTGAAGCTACAGCTCTGTGGCTTTGAGGAACAAGCAAAGACCCGCCACCTTTCCTGGCCTCTAAACCTGCAGTGTTCACCAGCAGCAGGCGACACGGTAAGGGAAGTGGAGTCCGAGTTAGACCTAGCTTCATCCTACGATCTTCGTCATCGTTCATCTGTCCGTAACCCCTGGAAGTTTGGAAGCTTCCGGCTTTCCCCGGAATATTGCTACCGATGGCTGAAGCCGGTCATCCCTGAAGCCGGGTACCCGCTTCCATGTCTCCGACCCGTGAGGATCTTCAGTCGGGGCTGCGTACTGGATCATCTTCGTCTGGTCAGTCGGATCTTTCAACAGTCTGACACCAGATCCCTCACAAACAAAACTTCATCCTTTTCTTCACTTCCCACTTCCCCTCATCCCTCCTTTGACTGAACCTTCACACGACAGTCATCACCCCAGAGCTCTGTTGTTAACCCATACACCTCTGTTCTGGCTGATGCTTCAGTCAAGACTTGTGAGAACTTCCTCTACTTTTGTGGTTACCACTATCAGACAGCTCTCCAGCACCGATTTAAATGCTGACTTGTTCCAGCATGTTCTGCTGTGTTGGAGCAGTTTGCAGTAGTTTCTTTGTCACCTCTCACTGAAGTGGTGCAACAGATGAAACCTACAAACCGCCTGGTGGACATTGCTCCCACCAAACTGTCGAGAGGTCTGCTGATATTTATCAACTCTCCTCTCAGGTCTGGATTTGTTCCAGCTGCGGTTCGGCCTCTCTGTAAACCACCTCAACTTGATCCAATCAATATCAATCTTATTAAGGTTTTGATAGTTTTTAAGTCATTCTCCTGTTTGTACTGTGAAGCACTTTGGTCACCCTTTGGACTGCTGTAAAGGGTTCTACAAACAAACTTTGAGTACGTTACGTCTGTCCTGCACCAGTGTGACAGACAATGGGCAGCTGATTGATGATCAGTACAGGCTCAGCTTATCTCACTGATTTCAGTATCCTCCTGCCTCATGATCAAATCAATCTTGATTTGATCAAATCAAGATTGATTTGATCAAATCAATCTTGATTTGATCATGAGGCAATCACAAAGAATGTCTCCACTCCTAAAATGCATATCAAAGACAAAGGGTTGAGGAGGCTTAATAAAGGAGCGAGGACATACAGGCATGTCATTAAAGAGGCGGAGTCCTGATCCTTTTGAGCGCTATAACTTCACCTGCAACCACTGTTGAGCGAGACTGTTGGAAGACATGGAGCAGATGAAGGACACCATCAAACTGTGCATCGACGCACTCAAAGACGAGCTGCACAGCCTGAGCCAGGACATCTGGAGCCATCCCGAACTCGCTGGTGACGAGAAGTTTGCACACGACAGGTTGGTCGACTTCTTCTCCCAGACGGACCAGGCGTGGACCGTCCAGAGTAACTACAAGCTGCCCACCGCCTTCCGGGCCACCTGGGGCCCTGTAGGCTGTTGGAAGGGGAAGCCTGTGTTGAACGTGGCGTTCCTGTGCGAGTACGACGCGCTGCCAAACATCGGACACGCATGTGGACACAACCTGATCGCAGAGGTTGGAGCTGCGGCCGCCGTGGGGCTGAAAGCTGCATTAGAACATCGGACTGATCTACCTGCACCGGTCAAGGTAACCATCACCAGGTTCATGGGAACTTATTTAGGACTGAAACATGAAAAATCCTGCAGGGAGACGACTGAAAAACACTGTTAAGCTTTTTCTCTGTGACTCAGAAGGTGCTCCCCAGACTGCAGCTTTAATTCATATTTATTATTTGACTTGTGAAACATAAAGTGCTAGAAGTTACCAAAAACTAATCTGAATGAAAACTGATCCAAACTGTTTCGTCTTGGGGGGAAAATGCATTGCAGATATTACAACATGAAGATTTTAGATTTGAGTTTAATTTCCAGAACCACCAGTGACACTTGCAGGTCCAGTAATTATTGCCACAATATCAACACTTTATTTATTTATAATTTAGTGAGTACATTTAGCATCATAGTGGTTTAAATTTGTGCTGAAATGTGTTTAAATAATATTTTTGATTTAGTGAAATTAATTTTACTAAACTTCCAGGTATTAAAAAAAAAAAAAAGAATTATGAGGAAAACTGTCCAAAACACATTACAGATAAACGTGTACCAGATATGCTCACAGACATTTTTACAAAAAAAAACAACAGCAAACGAACAAACAAGAAATGTATTTAATATTGTTTATCTTTTCTAGTTAGTAAAAGAACAAGAGGGAGAGAGGAAGTAGGTTTACAAGCTCTTTCTGCAGCTTTTAACTCTATCTTGCAGTCTTTCTCTGTCCGTTGTCATGGAGACGGCTCGGTTCCTCCATACCTCAGTCGTGTGATGACAGGTGGTCGTACATACGAGGAGCAAACTCGTTCTCTATCTGTCTTTAAAACAGGCCGTCACTGATTGTAGTTGAAGGAAAATCTATTGAAGAAGATATGAGAGGTCCAGTTAGTGAACTTTGTGCTCTGATCGTATTTATCACACAGTGTTTGTCAAGAATGTTCGTTAACCTGTGAAGCAAAAACACTGTTTACTTACTTGAATGGTCAGGATGACTCAGCTGATAATTACTGATGAATCATGATTTTTTTTACACCAGATAACTGTTCTGGGAACTCCTGCGGAGGAGGCGATCGGAGGAAAGACTAAGCTGCTGGAGGCGGAGGCCTTCGCCGACATCGATCTCGTCTTCATGGCTCATCCGGGTCAGCGGGACGTCTCGTTCCAGCCGAGTGTCACCGTCACTGGGTAGGTTCCTTCTCACTGCTTAATTCTGTCTCTTCTCCCCCGTCTCAATGGAAACCCAGCATTTACAGACTGCAGACGACCCCTAACCCACCACGCTGATGTTCCACAGGTTGACGGTGAAGTACCACGGGAAGGCATCTCACGCCTCGGCCTACCCCTGGAAAGGAGTGAACGCCCTGGACGCTGCCGTGCTGGCCTACAACAACCTCTCTGTGCTCCGACAGCAGCTCAGACCAGAATGGAAGCTTCACGGTGAGGAACAGACAGAAGCAGAGAGAGAGCTTCAGAGTTTGGTGTTGATCTCAGAAGAAGCAGAGGACAGAACAGCTTCGCTCAAGGCGTGTTTACAGCTGTGCTGATTCCAGGTCTCGGTAATCCTAAGAGCTTCAGTTAAAAGCAACTAAACTTCTGTTTCTGGTTCTTGAAGACATTTCTTCTGTCATCCAGGAGGTTTCTTCAGCTCTGAAGACCTGGCATGAACTGAAGAAGCCTCTTGGATGAGACATGAAAGGTCTTCAAGAACCAAAAAGAGAAGTCCAGCTGCTTTTAACTGAAGCTCTTAGGAAGGCGTGTTCGCTTTCATGCTCCCATATCAAAAATGAATCAGAAGCATTTAACTTTGACGCTCTGGCAACCACCGAACCTTCATCCACTGAACAAGATTGTCATTCTTTAATATTTTATACGGGTATTTTTCCTTCTTGTTCAAATAGTCGGGGGTAAGAAGGAGAAGAGAAAAAACATTCATTAGCTCTCTGGTCAGCCGTGAGTTCAACCAGGGACTCTGCTGAGAGCACCGTGACAGTCAGCATTCATTTATCTGTTTACTCTGTGAGACAAACTCTGCATTCCAAATTACATCCTTTTCTTTTTATGCTCCGTGCGTCCTACAGCTGCCTTTACAACGTGTTGCATGCAGTGTGTTTATAACTGGGACTTCATCACACATAAGTTTTGACCCTTTTGCTCATGTTTTTGTGCATAAAATCAGCTGTCTGTGTGCCCTCTGCACAGAGCCTCACCGTGACCTGCTGCATGTGACGCGATCAGAGAGAAGCATGCTGGTTTGCACACAACCAAATGAGACCAGATGTAGAAGGATGTTCATGCACAGTCTTATTCTGGCTACAGTATGATAGTCTGGGTACTGGAACGCACCTGAACTCTTTATCCATGCTGTTGGCTCTGCACAGCATTGTTTTGAGATAAATGCTAAGCTCAATGTGCTCTCGTGCTGATGCTTAGTCGGGTTGTTAGTTTAGTCAAAGTCTGGTAAGTCTCACCACCAGCAGCCATCTTGGTTACACCACCATGGAGATGTAAAACCTCCTGTTGAAAGTAAGCCGTCAAGTCAGATTAAAACTGCTTGAAAAGTTTTCTGGCTCCAAAAATGATGCTTAAAAAGCATTTTTTGCTGGAGGCTATACTTGTACAATGAGCAGTTTTACAACCCCGCCCTTGAGTCTGTGAAGCAACTCGACTGGCTGAATGTGTCTGTTTCAAGGCAGGTGATTGGCTCTTTGGAGGTGGGGCTTACTGTCAGGGAATCCTCTCTCTGTTCAGGATTCTTCAAGTCTCTTCCTTGTATTGCCTCTGATTTACTGCGACATTTACTGATCAGCACTTTACATTAGATACGGCTGAGGCTGGTTTTCGGGGTATTTGGTCGTCAGCCAGAGAACTGGACTCTATGTGATAACCTGAAGGAGATGCAAATGTCTGAGGGACCATGTTTCGTGGCGTCTATCCAGTGGTTTTGGCATTTCAGTTCAATCTGCAAACAGTGGCAGAAGAGAAAAAGGTCATGGCATCTCCAGAGCTGATGTTCATCTTTTGGGAGATATGAGTGTCAGAATTCAATAGCAGCTGAGCCAATCTATGTTAGACTGTACTGATAAATGATCCTGCACAACCTTTACACAGTCTGCTGTTCAACCAGTTGGATAAGATTATTGTGACACCATTTGCGGTGAAGCTCTACTGAAGGAAAATTTCAGAACCGACTTTAAGAAGAACGTTAATCCAACTAGGTAGCAGAAATCCATACGAGTTAGGAACCGGAGTGTGAACAATGGAACCAGAGTTTGAGACGTGAAAGCAACACAAAAGGAGCGACGCTGCGAGAGCGACTGAAAGAAATGTTCAGGAGGAAACACAATAGTCTTTGTCCTTTTTGTTGTTCTCACCCCAGCAGAGGTTTGTGTGTGTTGGTCTGTGTTTTACCAAAAGGGCTCGCATAACTTTCACCCAGATAACGGAGCAAAACAAACGTCCTGAGCGCTGATTAAAGAGCCCTGATGAGATTTGCCGCTGTGGGAGTCCAAGGTCTGAAAGGACAAAGACGCTGTCGTCCCTCTTTGTTTGAAGTTCATCCTGCCTTTTTGTTTGCATGTCCAGTGCTGCCAAGGCACCTTCCTGTCTTATCAAAGGTTTTTAAAGTGATGGCTGCGCTCCTGCTTATCCTCCATCTCCCACACTGTTTGTTTTACTGCAGGCATCATTAAAAATGGAGGCTTGAAGCCCAACATCGTCCCTGACTTCACTGAGCTGGCCTTCTGTTTTCGCACTCCAAGCATTAAGGACATTAGTGAGCTGAGGGCCAAAGCTGAGGCTTGTTTCACAGCCGCTGCTGTAGCAACCGGTTGCCAGGTAAGCTTCCTGAACACTGTGGACTTGTGTTTTCTTCTTTCTGTGCTGAAGATGTTCTATCAGCAGCACTGCACATCGCTCCTCTATGAAACGCATTCGCTCCCCTTGGATGTTTTATATTTAATGCTTGAATCGTGGTCGGCTTAATTTGACTATTTCTACAAACTAGTACCAATTTTGTGGTTTTAAAATAAGTGATTTCATAAATATTTCTTTAAAGTGACTCATCTGATTCAACACAAGTGCAGCCAGTCGGTGCTACATGTCACTCAACCAGTGACATGGAGATCATCTGAGAGCATGAATGTGTCTGAAGGGACTGAACCAAACTGTACCTGGCAGGTAAAGTCATGGTGTCAGAACTACACCGTGAGGACGAAAGAAGTAACTCTGAGAAAAGGTTATTGGACAGAATTAGTCAGGACGTACAGTAGATACAAGCAAATCTCCAAGACACTGAATTAAATCTATCATCAAGAAATGGAAGGAGTTTGGCACATGCAGAAATGTGTCTCAAGGTGGCAGTCAATACTGAGGGAGGCCACCTGTGACTCCTCTAAGGGAGTAATAGTTGCCCAGGTTCCTCACTAGTCAAAGATTTATGGGAGAGTGACAAAGAGAAAGCTGCTGTTGAAAAAAACTTATATTAAACCTTGACTAGAGTTTGCAAGAAGGCATGTGGGGGACTCTGAAGTCAACCGGACCAGAGTTCCTTGGTCTGGATGTTTGGTGGATTCCACACTCTGCTGCACATTATCCCACCATACCTGGTGTGAAGCATGGTGGTGGCATCATCATGATTCTCAGCAGCCGGCCTCAAGGTAAAGGGTAAAATTACCTCAGCAAAGTACGAGGAGATCCTGGAGGACAATCAGATACAGTCAGTCAGTCCTGTAGCCAGAACTTCACAGGAATGATTAACAAGTTGAATGTTCTGGAGTGGCCGAGTCCGAGCCCGACTTCGATCCAACTGGCTGGACTTTAAAAGGCCTCATGATGTGTAACCTGACAGAGTGGTTTCAAAAAGAAGAATGAGGGAAAAATACAGCGTCCAGATGTGCAACGACTGAGATGGATCCTCACAGACTCAGAGGTGCATCGACTCCATCCTGACTGAAGGGGGCGACGTTTTATGCAGCCATTTGTTTTATAGTTTATATTTTGACATGAAATAGTCTTTTTTTGTAAACTCTAGTTAAAAAACTAAACTGATTTTAATGTTGAAAAGCAATAACGGGTTGAACTTCCAGGACAGCCTGTACTTCCTGGTGGAGATGAATGCGATGCTGGATCTGACAGCTGTTGCATAACTTTGCCTTTTTCTTCTATTTTCCTGTAATTGTGCTCTGAGTACTGTACCACTGTGACATAATTCACCGTTACCTTCGGGCTGCTTTCCTCCTTCATCTGCACCTGCCTCAGGCTGCACGTTTCAGAGCACGTGTGGCCTTGCAGACCGTTAGCATGTGACAGGAAACACAGGCTGTGCCGTGATCTTACTCTGCAGGTATGTTTCCTCTAGGTGGAGATCATCTACCCCAACCATTCCTACTACAACATTCTGCCCAATGCCACACTGGCACAGCTGTACAAAACAAACGGAGAAGCTCTGGGGATTCAGTTTGCGGAGCCTGTAGCGCACGTGGCTGGTAGGTAGAGACACACATTCTGTGAACATCTCTGTCCGTGCAGAACAAGTGTATAATTTATAAGAACTGTGATCCATTTTTTCAACACAGAATTGTTATCACAGTGAATTTGTAATGTTCTGGCAGCTTCTACGGACTTTGGCAACGTGTCCTTCGCAGTGCCTGGCATCCACCCCATCTTCTACATCAGCACCGACGCATTCAACCACACAAAGGAATACACCGAAGCAGCAGGTGTGGCAGCACGCGGCTAATGGGAACAGATGTTTCTTGTAATGAAATTAAAATGCACGACGATCAGGCGGTTTCAGCCGTCGCCTCTCTCTCTCTCTCCAGGTCACTCGGTGTTCCTGTTTAGTTTCCATTTACTCTGTGCTTTTTTTTACATCTTGTGCCAGGAGCTGAAAAGGCCCAGTTGTACACCCTGAGGGCGGCCAAGGCGTTGGCGATGACAGCTGCCGATGTCGTGTGCAGCCCCGATCTGCTGAGGCGAGTGAGGGAGGACTTCAGCCTGGCCAAGCAGGAGGAGCAGGAGGCGTGATGATCAGACGGCACCGATACAGCTTAGAGAGCCTCGTAAACCCACTTTACTTCAAACATATTCCTCTGAAGAAAAGGTGTAAAAGCTCTTCTATGGCTGACGAGGTTGTCAAGGTTGTGTTGAGTTTGTGATGGAGAGAGCGGTAGAACAAGAAGGCAGCAGCGAACACACTCCTCCGTTTATAAGATCATCGCCACCGTTTTGTGAACTAAAGCTGGTGTCACTGGCTCACGCTCGCCAAGGTTTAATACTGGCTTCGGTACTTTTTTCTTCTTTCTTGGGTTCTGTGGTCCTATTGAAATCAGTCACCTTGAAGCATTTAATGAAGTGTATAAATGATAACGTGAAAATGTGACACGGGGCTGTTCATAGAGGTGCATCTATAGAACGCTTGTACGTTGATGCTTTGACAATCTTTTCTATGGAAACTGTCCTGCCAATAAAACCCATTAGAACTGAACTGAATCTGCATCTGCTTTCAGGCGTACGGATCTTTGTGTTTTGTTTTCATCCAGTGCAGGCAGATGAAACAGCCTGCACACTACCAGCTACACAGCACACAGATGATACGGTTCAGCAGCTAAAGAATAACAGATTTCCTCCAGAGATTGACAGACTTAGAAAACGGCGACCTTCACCGCATGGCCAGCCATCTGAACTCTGAATGAACGCTCACCACCTTCTGCTGGATGTGTAAATTTAGGGATTCTAAGTTTGCTTGATGAGCTTAAAAATTAAAATAATTAGCACAACTTTTCAGAGGAATTCCTCTCAGAGCTGCTGCTGAAGCCGAACTCTCCTTTTCAGATGTTTCGCTGGAATGAATTCATCCTTTCTTTAACTAAATTATACCACGTATACAGAATGTAATCTTCCCCCTCAGCTGTGTTTTCTGCTCGCATCGGGCTGAGTTCTGCATTTTTTAACAGTCTTACTACCGCTCTGGCTCATTTAAATTTCTGAGCATGCTCTCAGCGGCACACAGGTTGATTCATAACCTTGGCTTCCCAAGAGTGCGCACAGTTGTGGTGGAAAATCAGGATCTGGACATCTTTTTGATGCTTTATCCTTTTTCTGCTTCCTTTGATGCGTCAATGCCTTTGGTCCTAGCTTTTTTAAAAAAATTTTTTTAATGGTGCGCGGGGTTTAAACCGACACTGTGGCCTTTGGGACGCTGCTCGGATCGGCACAAAGGTTTAAAAGAACAGAAACATTCCTCATCATAATCAACACTTGTGAGAAATCAGAGAAATGGGTTTTTAAAAACAGGCTCAAGGTAACACACATACATATATATATACATATATCCTTTCACTTACATGTAAGCAGTTAATGGTATTAAAGAATATGCAGTTCATGTGATTTGTTAGGAATGCTCATCAGCTCAGACCTGTGCCAAAGAAAAGAGAGACCTTGGAGCTGGTTTCAATCCAGTGTCTAATAAGTGTAAAAGCTTATCCTCCGGGTTCGTTTAAACACGCGGCAGGAGAGAGCGCGAAAGTACAATACCGATCTGGGACGAAGACTCGAAAGCACACATGGAAAACCATCTGCTTTAACGTGAAACCTGTGGTCACGAACATGTCTGCTTTTGTTTCTGATTTTAATTAATGTCTGCAAAAAAAATAAATCAACCAATGCATTTCTGTAAACGTCTTACATGCAGGAGGTTTAAATTATGCAGTCCTGTGGCTGCTGCGTGAAATAATTTCACATTTTCAGAAAACAGAACATTTATTCAACTTTTTTTTTTTCCCCACACATAACATGTTTAATTAATTGAATATCTGCACGTTTGGTCGTTGAATCGTCATAAACCACTGAGATCTATTTTTTTTTAACATATCTTTTGCCTAATAAAGTATGAAGTTGTTTGAAGCTGAAAAAGACAAAAAAAATAAAATAAACTATCAACTAACGGGTCACAGTGAACCTCAAAGCCTCACAACACCGAACAGAGGAGATGAGCTTCAGTTGTATTTAAAAAAAAAAGAAGAAATAAGGACATTAAAAAAGTCAATACCATATTCTGTGTTTTAGACTTACTAAACATATATTTTTACATTTGTCACTTTAATATACTGCATTAGTATTTTGCCTTTTTTTTTTGTTACTAAACTTTGTCGACTCACACAAATGCAACGCAGCAGCTTGACAGCAAAATAACTGCATCAATACAAAGTTCACGAGCAACAGAAACTGAATCATACCAACATGCTGCAAAAGAAAAACTGGGACTTCAAGAACCAGAAGAAGCCAAATTAACATTTTAAGGAGAATATATCGAAACGTAAAGCCCATAACGTCGCTGATCCCAGGAAGGAAGTCCTCCAGCACCTAACCCTCAGCAGAACGGGGCTTTTATGGTCGTCTTTGTACGGATTAAATCAAAAGATAGAATAATTAGTGGACTTTAGGGGTGCTGGTAGGTGGACTGTTAATCTTGGACGTATCGGGCTGTTTCCAGCTGGATGTGGTTTGGTATTTATAAGAGTGGCATCGACTTTCTCATGAAGTGAGCGTTTGTCAGCGGTTCCTCTGAACAAGTCTAGTTTGTCATTCTCTACCGGGTTTTGCTCTCATGCAGAGCTGGAGGATCTGTCCGCACGCCGATCAATGCCGACCTGTTTTCAGTTTGCGGTTGGAGTCACTGCATTAAAACGAGTCACAGTTACACGAGTCCATGTCTGTGTGTCTCTGTGTGCAGAGCTATAGATACGACATGAAACCACACAGATTTGAGAGAGCGACGACAACGACAGCCGTCCTGCTTGTAGCTCGTATTTAAAGTCATCAGTTTTAAGTGGCTGGGTCAAGAAGGCAATGGTCCCCCATCTGACAATGGTCCCCATGCATCTAATGAGCAGTTAGTCTGTCTGAAGTGTTGCATCGAGTGCAAAGTTGTCCTTCCTGCTCTCGCACAAATGAGCCGAGCTCCTGCCGTCCCACCGTGGACGGCTCTCACGGAGTTTCATCCACCCCTAGTTTATGAGTAGATGGACCAGTAGATGATGTTAAAGAGGATGTACGCTCCGGGAAAGACAACCCTGGAGTACTTGTCTATGGCGTGGGTGTCTATCCAGATGTTCACGTAGCCTCTGGACGGCTTCACCTGGCCTGCGATCTGCGGGTCATTCAGCGCCACCTGGGCCAAAATCCGTTCTTGGCGGCCGCCGTTCTCTGGCATGCCATAGTTCCCCGTGGTGTTCACATCCATGGACCCGTAGCCAGTGATCTGGGGGTCGATCATCATGTCGTCCGGGTTTCCGATGCCGCACGTGCACGGCAGCTGGGCGGAGAAGCAACGTAAAGAAAAGACAAAGTCACTGTCGTGTGAAGTCTTAAAACTAAAAGGAGAATATAAATACATTAGTTTGTTCAATGTTTATCGTTTTTCTGCACTCAGAGCCTTTAAATAACTTTGGTATGAAACATTTATAGACGGATGTTTGTGCTGGAAATGATCCTCGGGGTACGTGGGCAATTTGGCTCCATATGCTGCAGCAGTTGGCAGATGAAGAATAGCAATACAGTCCATGAGCTGTAGTCCCAGAAATAATTTGCCATGGCCCTGAGAGCAGCTTAAAGTGAGCCAATTTAGAAAATATTTATCTGTTTATTGGAAATGCATATAAATTATTAATTCATGTTGCTACCAGTTTAGGAATATTTCATGTGTGTAAATATTTCATGAGGAAATCAGGTCAGCCTCGTCTGTGTCTGTCTGTAATAACAATTTTCTTTATCTTCAGTGTTTTCCTTCTTACTTTAAATCAGAAGGTCTATGGACATTTTTTCCACGTGACTGATGAGATTTAGGAAATTTACAATGAGTCAAATGAGACTTTTTTATTCATATGAGCCATCGTGAACTTTCACAGACCAGTAATACAATAAAAACATAAGTGAACATGAGCTTTTGGTCATGGTGGTCATGCCCAGGTAGGAGAATAATCCCGGTATGAAGGACACAACAAGCTTGAAATCTCTCCTTGGGGTGGGTTTTAAAGGATTTACCCAAAGCTATTAGAAATAGAAGCGAAACGACACCATGGAACCAAATCTATGACGTCCTAATATAACAGTTTTTCATCATTTATGCAAAATGTCAGAACATCATTACTTTTTCTTGCAAAACTACACAAAATCTGTTAAAAAGGTCAGAATAAAACTACACATGATGGAGCCTTTGGTGTTGGCCCATTGAAGAACTTCCTCTTCTCACATCTGGCTGCATTAATTATCCAAGCTGTTCTCACACTGGACTAACTACAGACAATGAGCGACAACAGGAAGAAGAAAAAAACACACGAGAGGAACACTTACTCTCTCTCTCAGCTTCCTCTCTTTCCTCTCCTGCACGGTGGACAGGTAATTAACCGCCGCGTACTCGATCACCGACAGGAAGACAAAGACAAAACTGACCCAGAGGTAAATGTCCACTGCCTTAATGTAGGAGACCCGCGGCATGGAGGCGTTGACCCCGGTGATGATGGTGGACATGGTCAGCACTGTGGTGATGCCTGCAGCGGAGACACGAGCAGTTTAGTCACAGCGCTGATTTATTCCATGACGGGGTCGGGAGGCTGAAGCTACAGGCTGAATACCAAGGAAAGGGCCACGCATGAGACAATTTGTTGTTGTTTTTTCTCCGTTTTGTGGTGCAGTCATTTGAATTTGAATTCCATTGAGCACGTAGCGCCCACCTCCACCGCGGTCAGAGGTCAGCACATAAACATGGCCGCCCCGCGATGCCGACAGGTGGCAACGTGTCATTTTGGACCACCGGAGGAGAGAAGAGATGTTTACCGTGTAGGAAGGAACGAAACACACTGAATTTCTTCCACCAGCAGCGCGTCTGTAGAGATTGTAAAGCTGTCTGTTAGTCCTTCACCACTTTGGCCCAAATACGTCAATAACCATCACATGAAACAGCAATTACAACAATTTCCCTGAGGTTTGCACCAAAGGGATCAATAAAGTTCTGTTCTATGAAGCTGGAATATTGTCCGAATGTCCGTGGCTGTTATTGGATGAATTTATGGTCCTGATGCATGAATTTTGACCTTCACGCTGATCCCAAACTGTCTACATCGGGTTAGTTAACCTTAGCTGTATAGTCTTTTATCTTTAAGTCTGATTAGCAAGCCTTAGCATGCACCTGGGGAGAATGGAAACCACCATACAGGTCAAACATCAGCGTATGTTAGCATGCTAACATGCTAATATTAGCTTTCACAGAGTGGCTGTAAACGCTCAGCTTTGCACAGAGATCTTTGCTTAATTCTTGTTGATTTCCTTTTGTAGATTCACTTCAGTTTTATTTTTTTTAAATTTTTATTTGAAAGGGCATCGTGGAGAAACAACAGTAAACAAAGAGTGGAAAGACTCAACGGATGCTCAGGGTCTCCATCCTAACTTACTCCGATCAGCCACAACATTAACACCACTGACAAGTGAAATGCACAACAGTGATTATCTCCTTAAAAAACAACTATCGTGCTGGAAATCTTACTTCAACAGGTGGCACCCACCTGAACGTTGTGGCAGATCAAGCATAGGAACAGCCCTCCCCAACGCCAACGGCCTCCCCCAGCAGGACGATGCACCTCACCTCTCCACAAAAACTGCAGCTCAAGTAACACAAAGACCCCGAGGTGTCAACCCACCAGGGGCGGATCTACCGGGGTGGCATGGGGTGGCATCTGCCACCCCTAGAAGATGCCTTGCCACCCCGGCTGCCACCCCAGTTCTGAACGATGTAATTCA